CTCTGGGATTTTGGAGGAAACCGGAGTCCCCAATCCCCGGAGAAAACCCAGGCAGAATGTGCAAACTCCATAGACAGTGACCCCGGCTGGGAATTGATTTTTTTTGTTCTCATGAAGGTTATGACAAAACGATGTTTTTTGAGGACCTGCTGTACTGGCAGTAGCTTACCAGAGAACCCCTCGGAGTCCTGTCAACTGTGTGAGGGCCTGTACGGGGCCCTCCTGGGAGGTAGGTATGGGTGGATTTGAGCTGCGTTGGGAGTTTGCATAGGGCCTTTGAGGACAATCTTTTCCCAGTGTCCCAACTGATTACAACTGAGACATCAATTTCTGGGCCAGTGTTTGATAATGGACCCCTAGCGGGGTGCAATTCAGGAGGCCCAGGTGTCATTTTGGGTCTCTGACCTTGGAGCTGTTTTAGCAGTAAAGCTAATAGCTTGGTGGATTTTTGTTTCCAATCTTGCTCCAGGGTCCTTTCAAAATGCCCAGCTATAGTCACAAGTTCAGTCAGGCCTGTGGCCTCCCATCCCATTTTCTGCCTCTTACCAATCCACTAATCTCAGCAGATAATCCATTTACGAAAAGGGCAGCTAGAGTGGGTTGACTGACCCTATTTATCATATGACACCAGAACAGCTGTAGGAAGAGGGCTTCCAAGCAGACTCTGAAGTCTGCCGCAGATTCATCTTTCTTCTGTTTGCATGTTTGAATAACAGGCCCATCAGTTAGGGCAAGTAAGACTCAAGGAATGGTTTGTAATGTTCAGTTGCTCTTTGGCAAGCTCTTTCTGGTCTTTGTGGATGATATCTTGAATAGCATCCTCAAGTTTTGCCCCTTTGCTTCCTGCATCCATGTTTGGGCTTCACCAGGTCCTACAACACGTGCACAAGCTGATAAAGATCTGGCAGGTTTTTTTAAGAATTGAGAGTTATTATTGGAGCCTATGACCCCAGGCTGCCAGATCTGTTATTCAGTGAATCGGTTTCCTCTTATGAATTCTTCCTTGTATTTACTAGAGAAACAGGGCTCTGACTCCTTACATGTTGCAACCTAGGGTGGTTGATGTGTCTGTTAAAAGCCTTCCCCATGAGTTTCTTCTCATCTATCTATACAGTTATTGCCATGGTAACCAGGAATTATGGTAGAAATAGAAATGGTTCTCCACGGCTGTTTTGAGGTTTATAGTGTGAAAGTAGTTGATGCTAAAATGAAATCACTAATAGGAAGAAAAGCTAAGTGACATTAAAACTTTTAGGAAACGTAAAAAATTTGTCTCATCTTTTGCAAGGATGTTTTTGCCTCTTAATGGTGGTAAGTGCTGATGGTTCTGACCCCCAAGGAAATGTGAATGAAATAGTATTGTGGATTCACTTGTTTGTGTATTTATTTTTGTCTCTTTAGAAAGCGAGACATACTCTTTGAAGGATATTTTCTAATAAAAATATAGAAAGAAAACAGCCTCCATGTCCAAGGAATTACTATAAACATAGGAAAGTACAAGTTCCTAACCAAAATTTGTGGAGCCCCTGTGACAAGGTTCTGTCACCTAAACTGTGGACATTTGTAAATAGCTTTCTTGGGCCTGCTACTAAGATTAAGTTCCATTTCACATTATTAGCCCTAACTCCTTCTCCAAAGCAAACTGAAGAAACCTGGGCTAAAAGGAGGCCAAGAGCAGGGAAGATAGTTCCACGCTGAGAGGCCCATGAGCCACAAGGCTGCTGAGGCCAGTGCCAGTCGAGACCCAAGAAGAAAGGAGGAAAACGGAGATGTACAGACAGGGAAACTAGTGTGCATCTCTGAGGGAACTTTGCGAAACAGAACCAGAAAATGAAAGCCGCATTGCCAATTTAGAGAAGACATCAGATTTGTGTTGAAATTATCTTTACAGTAGAAGAAAAGAATACCAAGATTAGATTGGCTGTTTGAGGGTGGTGAATAAATAAGCAATTAAAAACTGGAGATTTTGACAAACACATACACCATCCTGCCCTTCTCATTCTCTGGTCTGTATGGGGAGACCATGTATAATGAGATGACCACAGTATCACCATTCTGAAAAAAAAGCCCACCTAAATCAGAACTGTAGCAGGAGATCTTACAAGAGCCCTCCTGGATCACTTGAAAAGTTGAGTTCTTGGTTTAATAGGTCAAAGAGAATTAGTAAGATTCCTGAAGGCTAAAGGACGAACACAATGTTTACAAAAGGGGAAAAAGAAAAGTAGAAATTAAAATTTGGAGAAAGTATCTAGCAATTTACAGACATACTCGTAAACAAGGTCAACTTTTCAGGTGGTACAAGGTAGTTCAGGGATCTTTAGTGGGCTGCTTTTCTTAAATGTAGGCACATGAAAATGTGGGGGAAATTAGGCTGCTTTAGTCTTGTTCAGTTCAAATATCTTAGAGTCAGAGATTCCTAACCTTTTTTGGCTGATTTGTATATTTTTTACTTTAGAAAAGGTTTTTAAATGCAGAAAATCATATCAACATCTACGAGTCTGTCATCTATAGTTAACTAATTTTGCTAATTAACATTTTGTTCCATTTTGCTCAGATCTTTACTTTTTAAAGAAATATATAAATAATAATGAATTTTGTATCCCTAACCAATCCCGTTTTCTTTTTGTCTCTATCTAGGTGCAAATAACTATTGTGATTTTAGCATTCTTAACCTTTTGTGGATCTTGGGCCCCCTTGAGCTGAAAACTCATTTCCTGCCTCCCCCTACTCTCATCAAAGAAACATCAGTACAAAAATGCCCTTTTAAAGTGTTAAGAGGGTTCCCAGACCCAAACACCCAGCTGGATTCTTTTGGAATGGAGGCTGCAAACTGAGAATCCCTGCTTGGGGAATTCTTTTCTTTGGAGAATCCACTTAGCAATCAACAAATAATGAGACCTGATTTGAGCAGAGCCATCTCCTAGCTGCTCTGGGAGCTGCTTCTTTGAAGCTTTAGACATGGCAGCTGGAGCAGTGTTGGCCTCCTGCATTTTCTTGTTTGTCATAGAAGATTTGTATTCCCAATCAGGAGGCAGCCATTTTGCATCTGCAGCAGTCACAGTCCCATATTGCTGGAAAACCCCAATATGAGACCTTTGCCAGGGTGAACATGACCCCTGCTTCCACTAGCAGAACTTTAACTGGGCTCTGTCTGTGGCCTGCTATTAGAACTCATATTGACTTAATAGCAGAATGAAAATAGATCTCCTTTCTTCCTGCCTTATCGAAATAGGGTACTTTATCATAGGACTATTTTCTTTTTTTTTTTTTTAAGATTTTTATTGGGCATTTGGGGGAAGGGGAACAGACAAGTTGCTGTCGTTTTTGTTCTTCAGTCTAGTTGTGGAGGACGTTGCTTTACTGGCCCAAGTTGGCACCATCATTGTGCTCTTCCCGAGCGAGGCAAATCAGTCGCCGGCTTCTGGATGGCCGCTCACTGCGGCTGCTGGCCGCTCACGCTGGCTGCTGGCCACACACGGTAGCCCATGGCAATCCAATGCAGCAGGGGCTGCAGCCCACGCCGAAGCTGTCGCGGTCGCCAGTGACTCACAGCAGCCCAGCTCCAGGTTGAGCTGTTGTTCACCATCTTAGCTGTAGAGGGCAGTGTCACTGGCCCTCATATGTGGGATCCGAACCGGGGTCCTCTGGCATCCCAACCCAGCTTTTAAACAATGCGCCACTCGGCCGGCCCAGGACTGTTTTCTTTTTAGAGGAATAGTGCGTACAGAAGTGCTTCTCCTTCTCCATCACCACTCCGCTTTGGTGATGTGAAGTCTCCCCACCACACCCTTACCTTTTTTTTTCCTGCTTTACTGAAGCATAACTAATATGCAGTAAACATATATTTAAAATGCACAATTTTAGTACTGACCTATAAACACATCTGTAAAAGCAGTGCCACAATCAAAGTAATGAATATATCCATTATTCCTGAAAATTTCCAGGCAACTATTGATCTGCTTTTTGTTATTATAGATGTGTTTGCATTTTCTAGATCTTTATATAAATGGAATCATATAGCATGCGCTCCTTTTCGTCTGGCCCCTTTCACTCAGCATCAGTGTTTTCCATTCCATCCATGTTGTGCGTATCAATAATCCGTTGCCTTTTATTGCTAAGTACTATTCCCTCAGATGGATATGCCATCATTTGTTTATCCACCTGTTGATTGACATTTGGGTTGTTTCTAGGTCTTGATTATTACAAATAAAGCTGCCAAGAATATTCTGTGTTGTTAAGGAACAAAAATTCAACTGTGTAAATTTGAAGCTCTAATTGGCTTTACTTATCCCATTTCTTAGTCCCGTTCTTTAATGGATTTGAGAAGAAATCAGCTGGGATATCCTTTAAGTTGGTTTGGGGGGTGGAGCGCCAGTATTTTTTCATAGCACCATAAAAAAAGCAAAAAGCAAAATCCATTTAAATAAACTTTCCAACTAGTTTAAAAGAGGGAAATTCTTCACAACTTCTCCCAGAAGAGCTTGGAGTCAAACCCCTGGAAATGGGTGGTTCTTTCAGGAACAACTCTCCTGATCAGTTGGTTGTTGCTCTCAGGGATTTTATCTGCAAGACCCCAGCTGACTCATACATTTCTTCTAGTCCCACATTTGTTTTGTCATAAGCACCAGCTGACCCGAAGTCTTGGGCTTTCATGTTCTCTGAGTGTTTTTAGGTAACTGTGGATAATTTTCATGTATGTATATATTTTATTTGTTTTATGTACAAATAAAAGGACAAATAAGGATTTTGTGTCCCATATGATCTTTGGCAATATGTCAGAAAGGACCCTAGAGAAACCCAGGGCTCCCAACTTCTCATTTATCACACGAGGCACCTGAAGGCCAATGAGTCTTACGTGTTTTCCCCAAGATTCTGAAGTCCCTTGGTGACAGAGTTGCATGTTAAAACCAAGATGTCCAACTCTGTGTTCACCAGTAAGAGCGTGTTTCCTGTCACAGTGTTTCGATCTTCCTTATGCATTCGGCTTTCTTCCCCTATAGATTCTTCAGAAACCAACCCCGGAACTCAAGCACCAGCTGGCTACTCTCTCGAAGAGAGTCGCCGGCGCCGTGACTGAGCTCATCCAGGCAGCGGAAGCCATGAAAGGTAGGCTGGGTCCTTTTGTGTCCCCTTGTGGAATACCACTCAGAGGCAGTGCTGGTACAGCGAGCTGAGCAGAGAAATTGTGTAGCCAACACATATGCAGTCAGAAAAAACACAGTGAAGTACATTTTTTTTAAGCAAATGGGAATAGAGTTAGCTTTTTTAAAATAATATCCTCCTGAAGCAAGTCTTTTCTTCAGTCTTTGTATTAAGGACTTCTAGAACTGCTCACTTAACTTTTAAGGGTCTCATCATGTATATTTATCTGTGGGTTTGTTTTATTTTTAAATGTTATTAGGGAATTGGGGGAGGGGAACAGTTTTGGGGAATTGGGGAAGGGGAACGACCAGTGTCCTTCAACTTTAGTTGTGGAGGACGCAGCAAGCTCAGATCCAAGTGCAGTAGTGCCGCTCAGCTCAAGGTGCTGTGTTCAATTAGTTGCAGGTGGGTGTAGCCACCATCCCATGTGGGAGTCAAACCAGCAGCCTTGTTGTTAAGAGCGCATGCTCTATCCACTGAGCAACCCGGGCGGCAGCTCAGCTCAAGGTGCAGAGTTCAGTCTTTAGTTGTGGGCGGACACAGCCCGCCATCTCAAACAGGCAACCTTGTTGTTAGGAGCACGTGCTCTCACCAGCTGAGCCATCCTGCCACCTGTTGGCAGCTTGGTGGCAGCTCAGCTCAGCGGCCCATGTGGGAATCAAACTGGCAACCCTGTTGCTCAGAGATCACACTCTTGAGCAAGCTGTTAACCAACTGAGTTGCTCAGCTGGCCCTTTATCTGTGTTTTTATTCATGGGAATATTTATTCTCATTCAAATAGCACCCTTCGTGTAAATGGTGCTGTCTGGGTACATTGTTGGCACATGCCTTCATGGTTTCATAGAAGTAGTCAACTCACAAGGGAAAGGCTTTCTCACCAGTTTCCCTTAGTTGGAATTGAGGTGAGTAGCCATTCCTCAAGTTCCCAGGAGGAGAGCAAGGTAATCTCTGTGTGCTCAGCATAGTCTCAAGTCTTCTCCTAGGATCCTTGCTCATAGTCACATGCCCTAAGTCAGAGTAATAATGTGCAAGCTGGCCTTGGTCCATGAGGTCTTGATTTTGAAACGATCATCGATGACAGCTCCTGTGAGTAGGGCTGTACACACATCGATTTAGGAAACGAGGCTTACACAGGTACCCCTCTGCTCCCAGCTGATCTCTGTGAGAGTCAGGGGGCTGACCCTGAGGACAGTGCTGCTCGTAGGCTTGTGGAGCGCCTCTGTGTGTGCACCCAGATAGTGTTTGTCATTAAGTGGGTGCTCTGAGGTCTGCAGCCAAAAAGAATGACCCTGTTTGGACTCATTTTAGGAACAGAGTGGGTGGACCCAGAAGACCCCACCGTCATTGCAGAAACAGAACTTCTGGGGGCCGCGGCGTCCATTGAAGCTGCTGCTAAGAAGTTAGAGCAACTGAAGCCAAGAGCAAAACCAAAAGTGAGTGTCCACATGTGGCTGCTTGTCTGCTGTTAGTAGGTCTTCCGATGGATGGCTACAAAATGTGCTGGGCGTCCTGCAAGGGAGCTTGGCTCCCTCCCGGCGGTCAGATTAGCAACTGCAAACCTGCTCTACCCACCAGCACCTTTGTACAGGGTGCAGGCAAAACCCAGCGGGTGGGTCTAGCAGGTTAACCACCCAGAAAAATACCTGTGGGTGGGTATGCCAAGGAAGAATCCGGGCATTTACCATCTTGATTTTGTTTAATTATATATAAGGCAGGTGTTGGATGCTTCCTAAAGAAAGTCCCTATTACTGCATGTCAGATTGTCAGTCCAACTGTCTGGTTTCCAAAATGCTTTTTACAGAGAAATAACAATGCTGGGTCTTGATGGTTGAATGATGTATGTCCTCCATCTATATTTGTCATCTAGATAAATGTTTACAACTTAAGATTATGAGTATATGTTAAGAGAAACAGCCATTTAAAGGAAAGACATACTTTAAAGTCAGGCAGTAGAGAGGACAATTATTAAGTAAAAAGGATGGTTAACTAGTGCTGGCCAGGGTCAAAGCCCAACCCTGTTAAGGAGCTGTAACCCTACCCTGCCCTGCCCAGCTGTCTTCAATGGGAAGATAGTAGAATCAGAGGAGGCCTCTTTTCTTTTTTCTATTCAAGCAAGTCCCTCCTGGTATCAGTAACCTCACCTCTCTTCCAGGGACCTAAGTACATTAGGAAGTAAAGTCTGGCTCTTCCCCTCAAAAAAAGTTGGATCCTCCAATTTAGGTATGCCTAAAATTCTACTTTTTTTCTAAGACCAAAAGATGGTGCCTGAGCCCTGGAGTACACCAAACGGCTCAAAAGTGGTGCATGGGCCACTGTTGTATGTAAAACAGACATAAACATATGTGTATAGTGACTCTATTAAGCTTGGGAATATTCTTAAAACCATGGAATTCTTAGAATCCATCTCTTAATAGCCTCTGTAGACCTGGTACAAGCATTTTTTAAAATTTCTCATCAAGATGTAATTTAAAAGTTTTGGCATCTGATTTTTGAGTTTATCAGGGCTCTCTTTACTGGCCTCTAACCTGAGGGTCATGGTTTGTCTGACAGTGTCTGAATTTTTCTTAACAAATGTAAGAGCTAAGTGTGGGTATAGGGGCAACTCCATTTTCTGGTTATGTCGTTGTTTCTCTTTTGTAAGTCAAGCTACTTGTGAATGGAAAATGTACTTTCAACTGAAAAGGCAAGCAGCAACCATTGACTCAGATGTAGAGGCTTTCTGCTTAATTTGGGTTTCCTTCCTTACATGATTTATCACATGTCGCCTCTCTTGGGAAAGCTTCTGTCTGCTAATGCCGAAGTCATGTCGGTTGACATTCATTCTCCTTGAGAATTAGCCTGGTGCTAATTTAACATTAACACATCACCATATTCTAAGAGCTCTAGTCCCAACCCTGTTCCCTTTGTCCTTTTGCCAGGTCCTTCTGAGTTCTTGTCTGTGTCTGACTCTGGGTTTCCCTCTGCCGGCCATTTATTTGCTTCACGATTCCTGATCTGCAAAACAAAGTTATTAGAATTCCTACCCCCATAGGATTGTTGTTATTACCAATGAGATCATTGAAGAACACAGTTCCTGGCATACAATAAGATGCAGTAAGCAGTAATTGTATCACTATCATTGAAAATAAGATTCTGGGACTTTTATCTACTACCTCTTAGGAAAATGCCTGAATAAAAAATTATTCCATAGACCCATGAGCTGATAGCCTTAGCAAAAAGAAAAGAAAGGAAAATCTAAATGCTTATATTGATAGGGTGCCAAGCATGTGCCAGGCAATCTTCTAGGTGCTTTACCTGGATTAACTCATCTGGTCCTTGCAAAAAGGCCACGAGGTAGCACTGTTACCACCCCTGCTCTATCAATGCAGAATCAGGGGCAGGTTACCTGGCCAGCATCCGATTGCCATGACTGAGCTGGGAGCAGCGTGTGTGGCCCCTGGGTGGCAGTTCCAGACCATACCAGTCCTCTCAGCCTACCTGGTGTCAGACAGGGAAGTGTAGTCCCACAGGGGAGGTTGTCAGTTTTTGAACTTGAATCCCACCTCTGGGAATCTGTCCTGAGGAGGAAATCCAGAGAGGAAGACAGTTCTGTGTGTGCGAGAGGGTCGCTCCTTTCAGCCTTGTTTGCAGTCATGAGAAGTTGGTTGTGACCTGAGTGTCTCCTTGAAAGAAAAGTATGCAGCTATTAAAAAATAATGGTTTCTAAGCCTGTGTAGTGTAAAGAAGAGTCTCGTGGCATAATATAAAATAAAATTTTTTTAAAATACAGAATTATGTACTCATATGGTTGCAACTCTGTAAAAAAAGCACTTGCATATGAAGGAGACAGGCGGGGAGTATACAAGAATGATGGTGGAACTGGCGTGATGGGAAGGTCTGTGTTTTAAAAATAACAGCACTTAAATTAGTGATGACTGCTGAAGGGGGCCACTGGACACTCCCTATATTACCCTTGGATTGTCTAGCCTTTGTGTTTACAGTGTGGGTTTTTATGGAAAGCCCAGGAACCCTTTAGTTAAGGACACAGTTAAACCGTTGATTTGACTCCCTTCCTTGGGGCTACCTACTTTGGTCACTCCCACTTTCATATTAGGAAGGGTGCTTTAGAATGATCAGAAGTCTCTCTCTGCCCAATGACCAAGTCTCATACCACATGGATTATATTATCTGTAAAACTGTTTTTGAAAAAAACCATCAACCAAAACCATAGTTTTTGTTCCTGTCTAGGAGTGCCATCTGCTTTGTGGTGATATCCACGTGAAATAAAAGATCTTTCTTGCCTTTATAAAGGCATTCATTTCCCCAGTTAAAAAAGTGGCTCAGTGGTTAAAGCATACACTCTTAGCAACAAGGTTTCCGGTTCAACTCCCACATGGGATGGTGGGCTATGCCCACCTACAACTAAGATTGAACACAGCACCTTGAGCTGAGCGGCCGTGAGCTGCTGATGGGTGGCTGGATGGCGACTGGACTTGGAGCTGAACTAGCTGTGCCCTCCACAACTAAGACTGAAGAACAACAACTTGGCGGTTCCTCTTCCCCAACACTGTTCCCCTTCCCCAACTCCCCAATACAATCTTTAAAAATAAAAAATAAATTAAAAAAAATTCCCATTCTGAAACCAAAATCAACCTGCCTTTTGAGGTTGATTGCTTCTCTCCATCCACTTCCGTAACCTAAAAAAAAAAAATCCTCGGGATACTGTGAATAAGCAGTTGGCATGCCATTTGTATTCCTATAACTTTGCACACAACTCACAGGCCCTCAGTAAAGAGTGAAGGCGCTTTCTTTGCACAACTGAGCAGCATTTCCACTACTTTGAGAATTAGTTCTGGGGACGGGCAATGTTTTTGTTTAAATTGTTTTGCTCACCACATTCTCAGGTTGCCTGTTTTAAAAGCAGAATGGTCTGTGGTTTATGAAGATGATTCCTGGTTTATTCCCACGTCAGGCCTTTAACATTTAAGCAACTTTTTTTGCCTGGAATCTCCCAGGCATGAGTAACGAACAAGTTTGCACTGTTGAATCCACTGTTTGCCTGGGAAGATGGTACAAAGGCAAAATGAGAATGCCGGCGAGGCGAGCTGTGGTGCATGTGCCTACGATATCACTAATAGCGCCGATACCACACTTGCAGACACACTGTGCGCCACAGCCAGGGAAAGGAACTGCAGGGGTGACCACCCCCTGCAGCCGTAGCCTGCAATACTGTGCCTATTCTCGAGCTCAGTCAGACCTGGATACCTTTTCTGCAGGCCTCTGTGTGATATGTTTGATATATTAGGTTGTTATTTAATCCAACTATATATCAAACATATTCCTACAGGGTCTTGCCCTGTCTCCGGGGGTTCCTAATACAGTTTATAAGGCAACAGGAAACAATATGTTAAAATCACAAGTAGATTTAGAAGACGGAGTACTCATTACATGTCATTATGTTATGTTCCTGTTCCTGTAGCATTTGAGAGCTGTTACCAATATGGCTAGATTATTTTGTTTATTATAGAAACAAATCATAATCATGGATGTTTCATAAGAGCTTGAGATATTATGTACGGCTTAGTGTGGTGCCATGATGAATCCTTAGGGAATATGCTCACTGGAAAAAAATGGAAGGTTCCAACCCCATGTTTGTGGCATGAAATAAAGGTCAGGATTATAACCTCCAAACACACCTAGGTTTATATTGATTTCTAGTTCATTTTTATCCTCATTTAATTTAGAACTTAGTTATTTTCATCATCAAGTTTTCAGCAAAAATTCAAGCACAAATCAACTATGTGTAACTTGGCTTTCCACCTATAATAACAAACTGTATAAACCAAATCCGCCATACCAACCGTATGGATAAAGAGTCACCGGGCTTTATATAAACCTGGGGGAGGACGAAATATATCTAATAAAGATACTGTAGTGTGGACTACACTCTGTCTGTTGAATTTCCTGTTATAGGTTAACTTGTCAGTAGAAGTTGATAATATTTAGACTAAGCCGACAATCAGAAAGTAATTCCATAGCCTAATTGGGTGCAACAGGAAGTTTGGGATTATGAAATATTTTTTCTGGCACATAACTGCCTTCTCTGGTTGACTTTGACTTCTTCCTCATAGAAGAGCCTGTGAAGTATGTGTGCGTTCATTCTGATCCCTCTCAAAAGAACGATTGTGCTGATAGCTCAGCTTTTTGGAGGGGAAAAGAAGTGTTCTTTTAAAGAGCTCTCCTGAGTGTGTGTGAGTCTGCAAAAGCCCTCAGAGGTGGTGTGCCAGTGGTTTGAACAGGTGGCTCAGGAAGGCTTCCTTTGGTTCTGTCAAGGAGCTATCCCCAAGTGGCTTGCAGTGACAGGCACCTTGGTGACAGGTCACACCAGAAGCAGCAGAGAAGTGATGACACAGGGGTGGGAAATGCAGTGTTGGAGTCCTGGCGTCTGGAGTTT